TGCAAACAAAAGAGCATCGACAAAAACTCCGGTGAAGTGTCGCGCCAGGGGATCGAAGCAGCAGTCTTTTTCCCAATGGACAGCGGCACGAGCGAAGCAGTCATGAAGCATCACTGCGTGCTGCTCGCCGCCAAGCCGCCGCGTGCTCAAGGGAGCGGGGCTAATGCCGTAGGTCAGCGGTCCCCAATGTGGTGACGTGAATAGTTCGCACCTAATCAGGATCAGTACAAACAATGATTTGCGCCTTCGGTAGCTGAGAGTGAAAAAGTCGACTAAAGCTCTGATTTGCCAGTGCTGTATAGACATTCTCAAACAGCGGACGGGCACACCACGAATACAGTTCAGGGGGTGAAGACGACAATTTTTGGGCTGGGGATGGGGGGGGTGGGCAATCAAGGGCCCGCGACGGGCACTAGGGGACCGGCTCGACCGAGCGTGGCAGGCGGACACAGCACACTGCTCGGTGCCATCGGCTCACCCCTCTCCGTCCATCATGGCGTTTCTCTAGCCGTCCGGTGCTCTCTGCTCCGCCTACACTCTCTCGCACTGTCGCGTCGTTTTCAGAGCGCGCGAATTATTTTCAATTTGAACGTCTCCAGCGGACGTCTCTGTGTACACTCCGGCGTGCAGTTGTCTTTCTCTTACGTGTTAGGATTTCGTCCATATCTGCCTCTACAATTCATATATTCTTCACTGCAGTAAGATTCTGACTTGTCATGTTCGATTTTCTCTCCACATTCATCCTTTCCATCGTTGCCCACTAACTTTCTTCGCAACAGCATATTTTTCAATCATTCCACAGATGTTGCCTATTCCCAAGAACTGTTCTACCATTCACATTTGCATTTCTTCTGAACCGTGGCTGAGAGGATGGCAAAGTGAGGCAGAACTTTGGCGTAGTGGGATAGTGGGCGAGCCTCCGAAAGGTTCATCGAGAGTTCGACGCTTATCAGAGGTTCCAGGTTCTGCTATATCATGTTGTTGGTGCTGCTATCGGCATCCTTGTGATAATATTTTACATCACGATCTACTTTGAAGAAATATCAGGCAGTGAGTAAGAGTTGGAATATTGCCTCGAATTTCGTGAAGGTGCACATTGTAATCTCCTTTTCTTGTGATTGCAGCACCATGGAATTCTCTAGTGAAATAATTTCGACGGATTACCATCGATGAGATCACACTTGTCCTCGTTTTTAACAACGATTTTGATGTTGAATCCATTCCTTATCCTTTGAGAATGTTCTTAGCCGTTTCTTCGATACCCGCGCTTCCGCGGTTTTGCCGTTATCCCTTCAAGTACCATGAGAGTCATTTTGATGTTCATCGCGCAACGTCAGATCTCGCTCACCCACTGCAACAGCGGCGTCGCGTCTCGTGGGAAAGCAAGCAGACAGCCGGACACACATGCGAAGACATGCGGAGCCGCTCGTCTGACTGCCGCGCAAGTGACGGTACGACGCAGCCTGCCTATCTACGTTGGCCTCCCAAATGATTACTAGTGGCTGTCCTTGGCCACTCGCCTCGCCAAAAAGCGCCGAAGAGTGGGAGGCTGTGTCAAGTGAATAATTATTGCTGCTAGCGTACCTCCAGTCGATGCCCTACTGCTGATAGGAGAGGAATCATACGTCGACTGCTTCTCAAAATCTCGATATCGCCATGAACGAACTATTTTAATGTAACAAATCTCAAGGAATTCGCTAAAAACATTTTAAAATGCTACAAATGAATGTTCTTTGTCGAGGTTTCAAAAAACAGTCGATCGAAGAAGGTATTCCTCTTTCTGTCACTTATGCGGATCGGCAAAATTCCTTCCTATTCTACCGTCTTCTGTAGCAGCACTATGATGTCATAACTTGTATACCTAAGAGAATTGAAAGGGGGAGCAAAAACACGACTTCAGACAAAAGTCAAACCCTTGTTTCATCCTTATGAGGGCGCGTGCTATCACTACACTACCGAGGTAGATATATTTGCCCCACTACTCATTCTTCAATATCTCTATAATAGCTGTCATCTACCAACCTTCAAGATGTTTGGTCGGATATGCGATTTCGCTTTATAAACCCAGTTGAGCTGACCGCCGTTGTGATAGGTAATGCTCGAAACCTCCAATGTTTTTACTGCCTAGCGAAATCGCATACCTGATCAAACGTGCTGAAGGTTGGTGGCTGATAGCTATAATAGATATCGCGGAGAATGAGTTGTGGCGCGAATGTATCTTGGTGGTGTAGTGGTAGCACGCGTCCCCGGTATGGGGAAACGCGAGTTCGACTCCCGTCTGAGGTCGTATTTTTGCTTATCACTCAGTTCTCTTAGGTATGGAGCCATCATAACACTGCGAAAAAGACAATAAAACACTAGAGATTTTGAGTATGTATACGTACCTAATGGTACTGAATGATGTGCAAGACTTTGATGTCAGACGAGACTCAAAACCTCTTTCACCCTTTCCTGTGGCGCGTGCTCTAACCAACTGCACTACAGATGCCTCTTTTGTCACACGTCTTTCTACACTGCAAGCACCCTTTAGTATTTGACCTTCTACTTTGATCAGACTATATGCCACGTAATGTTGCTACCTACCTAGACAAGATCTCGTACAAGGCCAATATATTTTTAGTAGTATTATAACAGCGCAATAAAATTATTTCAAAAATGAAGTAAACCGTTGAATTTTTCTTGAGTATTGTGCGAGACTTTTGCGTCAGGCTGACTCGAACCCGCATTTCACGCTTTCTTTGAGGGGGGAAGGTGTTCTGTAATTAATTGCATTGACGACGCTTGTTTTGTTGGTTCGGGTCCCGCTTGACGTCAAAAGTTTTCCACATCACTCAGTATGATATGAGGCGAGATATCGAGACTGAGTCCACTCAGCTGACAGATAGTGCGTACCAAATCGTTGACGGTTGGTTGCTGACAGATAGATGCGTGGTAGCGTAGGAAGAGTGGCGGCAAAGCAGGCGTTGGTAGCTCAGTCGGTCGAAGCACGCGGCCTGAAAGGCACTTATCTGTCAACCGCCAAACCGTTCAAATTCCCGTGCACTGAGCTATCGAATGACTACTGATCCTGAGTCTAACCAGAAAACGCGTCTTCCCAAGGGCTCGAAACATGTGGTGGGTAACGGAAAATCACTTATGTCATAAATGCACTTCATATAAGAGAACTCAGGGTAAGCAAAAACTCGACTTTAGGCGGGAGTTGAACCCGCGTTCAACCTACACGGGGCGCCTGCTGCCACTAAACCCCAGAAGCACCGCTTCGCTGTCGCTCATTCTTGAACGTCTCTATTATAGCTATCAGCCACCAACCTCTAACAGGTTTAGCCGGTATAGCATATATCGCCTTATAACCCCCAGTTAAGCAGACCACCTTTGTGATATGTAATACTCAAGATTGCTTATGAATTTACTATTTTTTCTGCAGTACACGAAAGAGCGGGTTCAATTCCCGACTGAGGCCAAATTTTCGCTCACCGCTCGATCCTGTTGGGTATAATTTGAACATCATGAAATTGCGTAAAACAGTAGAAACATAAGAAATCTTAAGAATTGCACTCCATAGCATTAGTGCTAAGTGATTTTGGGATTGTAAAGAGGTAATGCATTATTCAAAGAAAAACCAGTGTCAAAATGCTTCCACGATATTTATTTAGTCTCTTTCATTCCTTGTTTTACTCGATCGATCTTCATTCCGCCTAATTCCGAACATCTGTTGATATCCGCTCATTTAAAAGATGAGATCTCTTAGATGAGCTGCATGCGTCTCGTCGTCGTCTACTTCTCTACGGCTTCACTAACCGCTTCTGCTCTCGCAATAAGCCCCTTTTGATTTGATGCCACTGGACCCATAGAAACATATGTTCGATCGGTGCTATCATTTTGACTTTTCCACGAGTGATGATCTAATCAATGAGTAGTTTACACTTTCGATAGGACAGAGCCATGGCGTAAATCCCGTCCTGCCGTCGCGCGCGGAGGTGAGCAGTCCGTATTGCTGAGTGGTTAGTGATACCGCCCATCAGGAAGAGGGCTGCTGGTTCGATACCCTACCACGGCTGCTTAGCAGCAGACTTAACCGTGTCGACTGGTATTGAAGATTCTTCTGTATACGTAACTACCATAACAAGAAAACGTCGAGTTATTAGCAATTCACTGCTTTTGATACAAAACAGATTATTGAATAAATAATTTGAACAAATAAATCGCTTGTGTTAGTATGTTAGGACATGAGATATGGTGGATATTGGACTAAACAGAAACGAGCTTTTGTGAAGCGTCGTGGCAAGGGACTGAAACAGCAGCCTTCATCTCAACAGCCAGCGCCACTAAGTACTCGGCACCATGGACAACTACAGGCCGCGCGCGTGGTGTGGGACTAGTGTCGTGATCCTGTCTTATCTAAAATGTTGATTTACTAAGTCAGTTCTTATTCATGCCGTTAATTTGAGTATTTTATTAAGCACACGCTCGAATTTCAATATATACTCATAATTATTATTTGAGCCAACATGTCATGTGGTCTGTTATGGGCTCTTGTGAGCACACGCTTCTGGATAAGGTGAAATGCGGGTTCAAGTTCCTCCTGGCGCAAAAGTTTTGCACGTCGCTCTACACATAGGGTATATCTATAGCACCATGCCACCGAAAAAAGCGGTTAAACAAGAGGAGATTCCGAAAAAGTCTTTCGAATTATCGTTTTACGTAGTGCTAAATCATCTAGAATCTTTTCATTCATCTACAGCCTGCTCTAAAGTGCAATTTTTTGAGACTGGAAATCCGCACACATTCAAATGTTGAGGCTTTTCTTTTCCGGAAGTCATCTTATTTGACCGCCAATTGCAACTGGCGGTCAAATAAGATGACTTTCGACTGATTGTTGAAACCCAATATCTATCAACAAAAGTGGGTTCAATGTCGATAGTGACTGCCCCGCCACACCGTAGACGGTTGGCTGTTGACAGATACGCATTTTAGCGTAAAAAAAAGGGAATGCAAAACGAGCGTTGGTGGTGCAACGGTTTAGCACATGTTCCCGGAAAGAGCAGGATCTGGGTAATCCCGGCTGACGCAAACGTTTTTGAACACCATCATCATTGGGTTTTTCTCTTTGTTTTTGGTTCACATAATTTTTGATAGCATTTTTTTTTCACATAGTGTCTTCGACCTCATAATTTTATAGCAAGTAGTTCGAAGAATTTTTCTTTTCATGGTTTTGCGTAAGGCCGACGTATTATATGTTTCATATTTTCAGTGAATGATAGATTCAAGCACTTTTTAAATAGATAATATTAATAGATCTTCAAAGGCGCTGCAACGATCTACCGCACACCATGTGCGCGGCAAGGCGGAACTCTCTATTATCACGCTCTGCAATGGAAATATGGGAAATCGTTCGGTAATATGAGGCACTGCGGAGTTATTATCGTGATTAAATGATGAAGCCCAAAAGAAGAAACTTCTGTAATAAGTTTCATAGTTAAGAGAATGCCCAACTATTCAAAAAAGTCATCTGTGATTTAACGGGAAAGCGCATTGTTGTGAAAAGGAAGCCATCTCCAGCTATTCTGTAACTTCGTTATTTATTTTTCATTCATGTTTTTGTGGTCTTGCGATAGCTTGAAATATGCCTATCCTCCCACTAAGTTTGCTTTGTGAAACAACTTTTACTTTACTTACTTCTAACGAAAAAAAGCTAGCGTTTTGCAAGCAGAGTTTGTTTACTAAGTATTTAGTTTTTCCCTCGAGATTCGAGGTTTTAGGGGAAAGCATCGCTATTGTTTCTGCTACAATTAGCTTTGTCAATATCTCTCCTATCATATTCTACCATTTACTGGCAATGAAATTCCCTTTAGTGACAATAAAAATCCACATTTCATTAGAAAACTATTGCAACGTCATTGTAGCCGCCGCTCTCTCCGCCGCGACAGTGTCAACGTGTCAAACTTTTCTCCTTCGTAAAAAGTAAAGTCATGGTACTGGGCTTTTTCCTCGTATTCAGTGACACATGGTATAGAAGTAAGTGCATATTTTTCCTGCAGGAAGCAGGAATCAGCATAAGAGACGTCAAGCTTCTGAAAGAAGTTGGCTTCAACACTGTTGAGCGCATAGCCTATGCGACCCAAAAGGGAAATCGCATCCGTAAAGAGGATCAGTGAGCAAAGAGCCGATTAACTAGTGGTACGTTTGATTGATTTTCACATATGCTTCATTTTCTTGACCTTAGGGGATTTCTTCCAAAAGTAGCAGCCCTGCTTTTGCAACTAACCTTCCATTTTGTTTTCGTTTCGTGAATTAATTTTATACATCGCGCGCATTTAACTGACTGCTAGTTCTTCTAGAAGTAAGCGCTTAACGTGATTGAGTTTGTTAGCGATGCTTCGAAAAATCGTAAACATCGTTCCTTGTATAGTAGAAGCCAAGTGCTTGTTTTAAGTATGAAGCTACGAAGTTAGTTCCTGTGGGTTTTACAACTGGTTATAATGCCTACGAACGATGTAGTGATTTAATACAAATTTGAACGGGATCGTTTGCGTTGGACCGGCTCTTTGATGGTTGTGTAGAGAGAGGTCGTATTACAAAGGTAGTCGTCGCCATTCCTTCTACATGATAGCCTGATAGCCCCTTCGGGACCGTGACCTACGACCTCTGCCGTTTCAACCCCAAAGTGCCATTGCTGGACGCAACACGTGGGGTTAGAGGTGCAGATGAAGTGAGGTAGACACTCCAGCGTTCCAACGCTGGGAGCTAGAGTGGCAGACGCCGTGGGGCCCACGGTCCCTTTGGGATAGATGGTTTTTTTCACTTCACATTTCAGCTCTTCGGAGAATTTCGCACAGGGAAAACTCAATTGTGTCATACTTTGTCAGTAACTTGCCAATTACCCATATCATTGGTAGGAGCTGAAAGTACCTCGTTGTCAGCAATTTGTGAAAAAATCTTTTCCTTTAGTTCATTTTTTTCCGACAGATGCACTAATCTTTAAAAATGCATGTGTATTGATACAGCTGGTGCATTTCGACCCAAACGTATACTTTCAATCGGTGAGCTGCAAATAATTCCACATGCCATTTTTTTCATTTTTTTCCTTTTTGTTTCGGGTTCAAGTGCTTGTGGCGCTAACATGGATCAGCGATATTCTCATTCGTAAGACGTGGCACTGGTCTGTTTGTTGATAATCGCCGTTTTAGTTACAATATGAAAAATAAGCATGTTTTGGAAAATATTGCCGTGACCTGTTGTTATAATTCGGATCATCAGGTTTCTCTTCTGACAACCGCCCGTTTGCTTAAATTACATTCGTAATTTCACTAATGATTTCCTTGCTAATCATTGGAGCGATATGCGGATATGTTGGGATGGAATTTCGGAATAATTTGAATATCGCAGAAAAATCTTTCGTAATTATATGCTCAACAATATGAACAAAGGAAGGACGGAGCGAGTAGTTGGTGATGCATGCTATCAGAAGGCAAGGTGTTGGCTCGACCACTCTCTCAGCATTCACTTGGAGTTGATCATCGAACACCTTATCTCGGAGACCGTCGAGATTGCATTAAGAACTGTCTCGACTAGCATTCGACGGCATCCATAATGACGACGGAATCCTTGAGCAGCAGCCGAATGAGCAGGTGAAATGCCCGAAGGCCTTTGATGAATGCGAAAAAAATTGCTTGTAAAAAGTGCCAGGACTCGCATAATAAGATGTTGTGACGGGTTTTGTAGTCAGAAAATGTAAGAAACAGAAGAAGCATTGCTGATTACTGTTTATTTGATGATGTTGAGTGATGTGCAAAACCTTTACGTGAGGGCAGACTCGAACTCGCACTTAATCCTATCAGACGGCGCATGCTTTGAACTGTTGCAATACCGATGCCTGTTTCGCCTCCACTCTTTCTACGCTACAACGCATCAATCTGTCAGCAAAGAATTGCCAAAGGGTTTGGTCTGGTAGTCGACATCGATGCTGAACCCGGTTACGCTGACATATATTGGATATATATGTTCAAAACGTCATGCGAACATTAGAATGGGACGAAATGGGAGTGAAATTTGACGGTCGACAGTTAAACCATCTTCGCTTTGCTGACGATATCGTTCTCATAACACCAAACATTAGTGAAGCGGAACGAATGTTGACTGATTTCGATAACGCCTGTGGAAAGATCGGTCTTCAACTGAATCTAACGAAAACAATGTTCATGAGGAACGGATGGGTTTCTAATGCCCCATTCACGCTCAACGGAACGACAATTTCTCAATGCTCCAGTTACATTTATCTAGGTCGTGAAATCAACATGATGAACGACCTAGCCCCAGAGTTGAGCACGAGGAAACGAGCGGCTTGGGGAACGTTTAAGTGCATCGAAGATGTAGTGAAGAGGACAAAGAACATCCGACTCCGTGCCCACCTTTTCGACTCGACAATTATCCCTGCCCTAACGTATGCAGCAGAAACCTGGTCGCTACGTAAGCAGGATGAAAGATCACTTGGAGATATCGAACGCGCAGTCGAAAGGTCGATGCTAGGAGTATCCCGTATTTCGCAAATGAGACAAAGGATCCGAAGTTCCGACCTACGTCAACGATCGAAAATCAGAGACGCCGTTCTACACGCCAGGATATCGAAAATAAGGTGGGCCGGACACGTGATGCGCTTCAACGACAATCGATGAACGAGAGCCGTTACTGACTGGATTCCTCGGGACGTCAAGCGCTCTAAAGGAAGACCACTGACCCGTTGGTCCGATTTTTTCATGAAAGCGATTGAAGAAAGATATGATGCTCAACGAATCCCTAGAGCGAGGAGGACCCGCTGGGCTACTTGCACGCGGTAGGGAAAAATAGAAGAGTTGCTGGTACCCGCTCGAGTCACTCGACGATCAACGGGACGACAAGTGATACATGTAACAAGTGATCGATTACCCAACCAAACCGTTGACGGTTGGTTGCTGACAGGTTTTTGCGCTCTAGTGCATAAAGAGTGGTGGCAGAGTAGGCTTCGGTAGTGAAACGTTAGAGCAAGCGTCTCTGGATAGAATGATAACGGGTTCGAGTCCCACTGACGCAAAAATTTTGCACACCACTCAACATCTTTGGGATAATTGAAACATCGTACCATCTCTACAAAATGGGTGAAAAAAAACAATTCTTGTTTGATGCCAATTTGTTTCCTAATCCCCACGTTTATACAGTGGTAGCAGAAACAGTTTAAGTTTTCTTTTGCTTTTAGCTGCGATGATGGCCGAAAGTAGATATGCGTTATTAATTGTCGATAGCGCTACGGAATTTTTTTAGGTATGTTGCCATATTTCAGCCATGCTTCTCAATTATCTTATTCCTAAATGTCATTTCTAAATTTCACACCTGAGAGTTTAGATCAGTGAACGGATTTCCAGCAAAAGTTTTGAGGAAAAATCAAGTTTTATCCCAGGAGAGATTATTGTGGCAGACGTGAATTGGCGTCTTGACAAATGGCTTTTCAAAAGAAGGAAGAACTTTCTTTTAAGTTTGACATCCTCTTCAAAATACTTTTTTGGTTTTACTCTATGAAGATTGCTTAATCTTCTTCTTACCTTTTGATGCAATGTTTTTTTAGATTGTAAGCTTACTGGTTATTTTAGACTGATGGGACTGCTAATCAAATTTGCTGATGATTTCGTTGTAGCAGTCGTGATAACAAACCAAGTAATAGAGTCGGTCTTATCCTTGAGATAAGTTGTTTAGAACTTGAAAGAAAAAACAAAAAAGCTCCAGGAAATTGCGCAGGAGACGTTTTTCCGTCTGATTGAAGCTTAATATAAAAGAATCTACTCTTTTTAGTGTACGTTTTCCAAAAAAAAAGCAGTAAGAAAATTGATTCACTTCGGAGTTATTAAAAAAACATATCTAATCCAGTTCTTTTTGAATGTATTAGTTTTTTTGAGACAGTCGTTTTTTTTTTTGCTTGATTTTCGGAAAGGAAAGGAGAAACAGTTTCAGAGAGTAGATCACAATAGGCTGTCCACTCATGCATAGACACCGTAGCGCCCATATTTGGAAGTCTCACAAATAGAAGAAAATAATTTGCTAAT